GAAACTGCGTCTAATATGAAGACAGAATGAATGGCAGGCCAGTTAATTTAAAGATATACAGTAGTCAATACTGTGGTGGTAATTATCAATCTACTCTCTGGAAAGGAAAAAAATGCATGTGTAGACATTGCTATTCACAGCATAACAACTACACATACTACACATATATTGCAATGAACCTTAAAAGATTTTATTTATTTTTAACTGGAGGGTAATTACTTTACAATGTTGTGCTGGTTTCATAGAGTAACATCAATCAGCCACAGGTATACATATGTCTCCTCCCTCTTTGACCTCCCAGCCACCTCCTGCGCCATCCCATCTCTCTAGGTTGTCACAGAGCCCCGGGTTGAGTTCCTTGTGTCATACAGCAAATTCCCATTTTCTTTCTATTTTAGGTATGGCAATCTATATATTTCCATGTTCCTCTATCAATTCATCCCATCCTCTCCTTTCTCCACTGTGACAAGTCTGTTCTCTATGTCTGCATCTCTATTGCTACCTTGCAAATAGGCTCATCAGTGTCATTTTTCTAGATTCCACATATATGCATTAAGATATGATATTTGTTCTTCTCTTTCAGACTTACTTCACTCTGTATAACAAGCTCTAGGTTAATCGACCTCACAGCAATGACTTAAATTTGTTCCTTTTAATGTTGAACAATATTTCATGGTATATATGTACCTCAACTTTATCTATTCATCTAGGTTGCTTCCATGTCCTGACTATTGCCAATATTGCTACGATGAATATTGGGAAACATGTGTCCTTTTCAGTTATGGTTTCCTCAGAGTATATGCCCAGTAGTGGGATTGTGAGTCATTTGATAGTTTTATTCCCTAGTTTCTTAAGGAATCTCGATGCTGTTTCCATAATGACTGTATCAGTTTACATTCCCACCAATAGTGCAAGAAGGTTCCCTTTTCCCTTTTGTCTTCGAAGGCTGAGCTCTGAAGAATTGATGCTTTTGAACTGTGGTGTTGGAGAAGACTCTTGAGAGTCCCTTGCACTGCAAGGAGATCCAACCAGTCAATCCCAAAGGAAATCATCCCTGAATATGCACTGGAAGGACTGATGCTGAGGCTGAAACTCCAACACTTTGGCCACCTGATTCAAAGAGCCAACTCAATGGAAAAGACCCTGATGCTAGGAAAGATGGAAGGCAGGAGGAGAAGAGGGCAACAGAAGATGAGATGGCTGGATAGCATCACCAACTCAATGGACCTGGGTTTTTGCAAACTCCAGACAATAATGAAGGACTGAGAAGCCTGGCCTGCTGCAGTCCACTGAGTTGCAAAGTGTCAGATATCACTTAATGGCTGAACCACATCAACAGTGTCAAAGAGTGTTCTTCCTATGTTTTCCTCTGAGAGTTTTAGGGATTATGGTCTTACATTTAGATCTTTAATTCATTTTGAATTTATCTTTGTGTATAGGCTTCCCTGTAGCTCAGACGGTAAAGTGTCTGCCTGCAATGTGGGAGACCCAGGTTCAATCCCTGGGTTGAGAAAATCCCCTAGAGAAGGAAATGGCAGCCCACTGTGGTACTCTTGCCTGGAAAATTCCATGGATGGAGGAGCCTGGTAGGCTACAGCCCATGGGGTCACAAGGAGTCAGAAAGGACTGAGAACCATTACTTTCACTTTTCACTTTCATGCCTTGGAAAAGGAAATGGCAACCCACCCCAGTTTTCTTGCCTGGAGAATCCCAGGGATGAGGGGAGGCTGGTGGGCTGCCATCGATGGGGTGGCAGAGTCGGACATGACAGAGCGACTTCACTTTGTATGGTGTAGGGAGTTTTCTAATTTCATTCTTTTACATATAGCTGACCATTTTTCCCAGCACCACTTATTGAAGAGACTATCTTTTCTCCTTTGTATATTCTTACCTCCTTTGTCAAAGATAAGATGTCCATAGGTGAATGGGTTTATCTGGGCTTTCTATCTTGTTCCATTGGCCTGTATTTCTGGTTTTGTACCAGTACCATACTGGCCTGATGACTGTAGCTTTGTGATACTACACATTTTTTTATTAATCTTAGTTATTAACATTTTTAATCACTTTCTCAAGTCCAGACAATCCACCAAGCAGTTAATCAAGTCCTGATTTGTAGCATTGTCCAACAATTGTACCTCATAAGCTTGAAAGAACGCACAACTTGTAGGGCCAGCAGACTTTAAATTCCCAAAAGAATGAGGAAAAGAGGAACAGGAAGAAGAGAAAAAGAAGATGAAGGAACAGAAGAAGGGGAGGATGAGGAGTGGGAAGAGGAGACAACTTAAGATGCCAAAGCAAAAATCTAATACAGGAAAGACATAGGCTAAATATGGAGCAAACTATAAGATTATCATAACCTTAGTGTGAAAAGTACTGCTTCTTTAAGTGGCAGAGGGCCAAGACATTGAATTCATAGATTAAAAAGTCACAACACTGACAAGTTATGCCTGTGGGCTGAGTAGTTCTGAGGCGCTCACAGTAACATCTGATCCTCATTGTGCTTTCTGTAAGCTGACACCGTTCTAAATGCTTTATAAATATGTATAAATGTAAGGCACCCAAGCTAACCTATAAAATGAGTACTATTATCATTCGCACTTTTGAAGTGAAATAAAATGAGACCTTAAAATGAGACACAGAGACCTTAAGCAAATTACCCAAGATCATACAGTTACTAAGCAGCAGAACCATGGGGTGAACTCAAGAAGGCTGGCTGTAGGATCTGTGATCTCAGAAACAGGACTGTGGTCAGTTCTAGTGGAGAAGGTATGCGATGCAATTTAATTAGAAACTTGGGTCTTCTGAAGGGTGGGTTGGTAATGTTCTTTTTCTTATCTTCATGTTTGTTGACAATAAAGAGTTCAATCTATAATTATCCACTTCATAAAGCAAAGGTTTATGAATGTTCTGAATATGTTGATCATGTTCTCCTAAAATCAAACAAAATTTTACTTTTTGTTTTCTTTTTTCTTGTTTTTCTTCAAGACAAAATTCAGGAGGGAATCATGTCAATAATATTACACCAGAGCCCTGTTCAAGAGTACAAAGTCAACCCTCCTAAAAATAAAATCACTTCTTCTTAGTGTAGGAAGCACAACAACAGTAAAATTCTCTATGCATTTTGTTACCTATAAGGTGAGGAAATGAATGGAGTCAACTTCCCTATAAGATGGGAACATTGTTAATAATAGACCTACTTTTCATATAGTCACTCTCATAAAATAAATTTTTGCTTTGCAAAAGAATTAATTTATTCCTCAGCCCTTTTAACAATTTTCAAAAAAATGTCTTTAAAAGATCATATGTACTTTCAGTTAAAAGAAAATACATGTGATTCAATTTGTATGGAAATACAAAAAACCTCGAATAGCCAAAGTAATCTTGAGAAAGAAGAATGGAACTGGAGGAATCAACCTGTCTAACTTCAGACTATACTACAAAGCCACAGTCATCAAGACAGTATGGTACTGGCACAGAAATATAGATCAATGGAACAGAATAGAAAGCCCAGAGATAAATCCACGAACCTATGGTCAGCTTATCTTTGACAAAGGAGGCAAGGATATACAATGGAAAAAAGACAACCTCTTTAACAAGTGGTGCTGGGAAAACTGGTCAACCACCTGTAAAAGAATGAAACTAGAACACTTTCTAACACCATACACAAAAATAA